AAGGCAGACGCTTAACAACTGAGCCACCCAGGCGCCCCCGCCCCGGGCATTTTTAACACCTTACTTCTAGCTGCTCCAAAGATCCCTGCCCTGACATCACCCAAAAAAACAAGTCATAGGAACACAAAAACTTCTCTCACCTTGTGATCATGCACTGATTTGTCAGATATCCAACCAGTATTGGCTAGACACCACCAACTCTGGCCTCTCTGAACTGCCTCTTTTCATACATGGGTGACTGGCAGGGCAATTAAGTGGGCTCTTCTTGGTTTGCTCTTAAGCCTCATGATAACTTGTTCCCTAAAAGTACAGACACGATCAGACATAGTATTCAGTTAAGTACAGGTTTTTATCTACTTTTTGTCTAAAAGAACATATCTGTCAAATATATTTGATCATTAGTTTTTAATATGAAGGCAGAATAAAGAATAAGGACTTTAAGTCTCAAATCAATAGCCTTAAAAGGTGAGAAATCAGGACCGCTGCAGGTCAAATGATGATGGACAGTTAACATCTGTGAACTCCTCATCACTCACTGGGCCAGATGTTTGTTCAATGTGTTGTTTGACAGCAGTTCTATAAACCACAGGACCTTAAAAATGCAAACACCATTCTCTGAAGCTGCTATAAGCTGCAATGTGGTGTTTCCATTCCCTCTTAGTTTTCCAAGAAAGATGCTGGGATTTATGAAGTTATCCTGAAAGATGACAGAGGAAAAGATAAGAGCAGACTGAAGCTTGTGGATGAAGGTCAGTCCTCCAACTGCTGGGGTTGATTTTGTGTGTTCTGTGTCACAGGTAACCAGACTGATTAGTGAGGCTAAGTAACAACTGAAGTCATGCTGAGTTTTTGTCCACAAATTTTAATTGAAATTCCAGCAGAGTGAACTACTCTTTTATTCAAAAATACTTCACTTTTAGTCTTCCTGTAAATCAAATATGTACTTTTGATCTTCAGAGAATTTATAGTCCATAGTCCACAAGGGTTCTGTTTTCAATATAAATCATCATTTTTGTTTCAACCCTATAAAAAATGTTCCAGGATCAAAAACTACTGTGAGGGGCATCTGGCTGGCTCAGTGGGAGGAGCATGTGACTCTTGATCTCAGGGTTGTGTGTTCAAGTTCCACGTTGGGTGTAGAGATTACTTAAAAAAAAAAAAGTTCGTTTAAAAAAAAAAACCTACCGTGAAAAGCATGTCACCAAATAGTCCACTCTTAACAGGTGGCAAGAAAGATTTATATATGAAACGTGAAGCCTCTCAGTTATTAGCAGAGCAAGAAAGCAATTTCCATTTTTCAGAGACTTCTAAGGACAAATATATCATGATAACAAAGACCTACATGTGACCACCAGACTGCCAAGTGTGTTCTTGAACAAGATCTTTAACAATATTAATAACAGTGTAGGTCTGACTTTGATTTCACCTTCCTATTCCTGGTGGAGGCAAGACTAAATGTGCTTATTGGCAAGAAGCATTATCAGGCTGAGAAATATCAGGGAACCTGGATGGTTAATTCATTATGAGTTGATGATGCAGATAAGATAATTCCGTATATGTGAACTAAGACTTCTTGGGACTTAAGAAAGCCAAGAACCTTCCTGGAAATCTCATTGTGGCTTCCTCTAGAATGTAAATATGGTGATAGTTATAAAGAATTAGAGGGAAAAAATATATCAAAATAAGAGCAGGAATCTTTTAAAAGTTTATACAAATTGAGGTATTATTTCCTCAAAGAGCACTTATTGTCAGTTGTTCAGCAAATTCACCTGTGGCCAATACCCTTCACCAGGCAGGATAATGTTGAGAGCACATGCTACTCACAGTTTGAGATCTGACCTTACGTTGAGCATTTTTATGCTAAAGCTCTGTCTATGAATCTCTATCCACAGCCTTTAAAGAACTGATGAGTGAAGTATGTAAAACAATAGGTAAGTTAGAGTGATCTCCCCACGACAATGCTTCACTATTCTCCTGGATAGACTTACAGCTGTATGAACTATGCTGTTTTCCTCTTTCAGCTTTGTCTGCTACAGACTTGAAAATCCAGAGCACAGCCGAGGGCATCCGGCTGTACTCTTTTGTTACTTATTACCTGGATGATCTGAAAGTTAACTGGTCCCACAAGTAAGTAAATGGGAACTTAACTGCCATGTAGAAATTCTTTCTCCCCTGTGTGTGAGTGTGTGTGTGTGTGTTGGGGGGGGCAAAAAGGGGGCAACAACAATCCTCTATTCTTCCTCTCAGGTAAGGAGCCTTCTTACTTCCCAGGTCTGACGTTGACAAGTGTAGACAGAAGCATCCCCACCATTCCCTTAGCCTGAACTTGAGTTCGGGGTGAGTCCAGTGATGGCTAAGATCATCTGTCTTTGTGATCTGGGAACTGTCATCATCCGTACACATCTCTATAATAGAATTTCCACCTTCAGAAGGTTGAGCTTGGGCTCCGTCTGCTTTGCCAGGCACCCAAAACCAGATTCTTATCTCCTCTTTCTATACACAGCTCACCCCTGTTATGGTCTGGAACAAAACTGAAGCAGCATGCACCAAGAGCCACCACATTTCCTGTTAATATGAATTAATAGCCATTCACCAAAGAAACCCAATCCAGTGGAGTGCCTGAGTTTGTTACTGTTATCATTAATAGCAGCTGGCATAGTTGGGCATTAGCATGTCTCATGTCCACCCTTGGAAGACTTTGGGGATTCAAGATTACTTTGGGAATGTGTATTTGAGCTAGACTGAGCCTGTAGATCTGTTCTAATCCCAGGTTCCTTTGTGGAGTTACAGGTGAACTCAAGTTTACCTCTGGGATTCTAAGAGCCAAAGTAGGTTTCTAAGTCCAACCAGTTCCCCCATTATACTTTTGGCAGTGTCCTTAACCTCTGCCCTTCCTTGAAATGTCCTGAGCTGAAAGAAAACAGCAGCCTGGCATAGAAATCTGATGGGGCACAGCCACCTTCCGTCCACTCTTCGGATGCAGGGGATGCTCATTCCAGAAGTCCTTTATTGAGCCCCACTGAGCAGTAGGTCACTGTGACAGCCCTGGGAGGAGGCACACAACAGTGTTTATTTGCATCTTCCCTACCATGGGTGTCTATCAGATGCTGCCTGAGGCCCCAAGCCCTTCCCATGTATGAATTCACTTAATATTCACAACTCTAGGAGGCAGGTAATTCTCGCTTTAGTGACTAGGAAGCTCAGGCTTGGGGAGGTGACTTGCTCGAGGTCTCACAGCTCACTGGCAGGTGGAGGACTGAACCCAGGCCTGGCTCCACAGCTCCCCTCACCATGGCACTATTCTGTGTTCCAGTTGCTTTAAAAGTCTAGGTTGAACATTTAACCAGAACTGGGTCGTCCCACAAAACAGACATTTGTGTTTTCTTTAAAATGACTTTACTGTGATATAAAACAGTGTTTTTATTCTTATTCTTATTCATTTCCTGAGTTCTTAAAAAAAAAACAACAACAGAGGGAGAGAACAAGCGAAATTCCAATTTGAATGCTTGGGGTTTCAGTCCTTTGTTCTATTTCTTTCAGAGCACATTTTAGGAAAGTAATTATGAGTTAAAATAGATCAAATTCTAGGAAATTCCTCTGTGACATCTAGGACATTCTAATATATGAGTCTGAAGAATAAGAGAAGATGAATTAACTGAATAATCAATCAAAAAGCTTTATATCATCTTTAAAAGAATTACTTGTTCAAAAAAATTAGAACATTCAGTTTTAAGGAAGTTGCTATTAGACTAGTAAGGCATAAACCTCTTACACAATTTGGTCTAGTCAGCTGAATGACTGTTTTGTGTACCCATGTGGCTAGGAAAGATTCAGGAATCAATGACTGATTGTCTTCACTGTCTTTTCGTAAGTATGTGGTGTAACAGGAGAAAACTTGAAATGTGTTTTAGCCTTGACTTTGCTCCTATCTTCCCTTGAATCTTAGGCAAGTCATTTAATATTTTGAAATCTTAGGTTTCTCTCATATGAAATAAGAGCAATAATACCTATTCTATCTCATAATACTGATGGAGCCAATGAGAGAATGAAATTTATGGCACTTTGTAAACCATGAAGGGCTTTACAAATCTAAGGTACTATTATGCATGTTAGTTAGAGATTAGAGAATTCAAACAGATTTATTATAGCAAAACCGAGGACTGTCTACCTTTCTAACTCTTTAAGACATATATATTGTTCAGACTCAAGTCTGTGGGTACAGATGGGTTCCTTTACCCTACATCTTATGGAAGTTTTTTTTTTTTCATTTTTTTAAAGATTTTATTTATTTATTTGAGAGAGAAGGAGAGAGCGTGAGTGCGGGGAGGGGCAGAGGGAGAAGCAGGCTCCCCACTGAGCAGGGAGCCCACCCTGGGGCTCGATCCCAGGACCCTGAGATTGTGACCTGAACCAAAGGCAGATGCTTAACCGACTGAGCCACCCACGTGCCCCTCTTATGGCAGTTCATGAATATCTTTTAAAGAATGTATTGTATAAGAATGGTGATGGGGCGCCTGGGTGGTTCAGTCGTTAAGCATCTGCCTTCGGCTCAGGTCATGATCCCAGGGTCTTGGGATGAAGCCCTGCATCAGGCTCTCTGCTCGGTGGGAAGCCTGCTTCTCCCTCTCCCACTCCCCCTGCTGTGTTCCTTCTCTCGCTTTGTCTCTCTCTGTCAAATAAGTAAATAAAATTCTTTAAAAAAAAAAAAAAGAAAAAGAAAAATGGTGAATGTTTATTTGAAAGCTGTAACATTTTTATTGGAGATTTTTGTTTTTCTGTTTTTAGTTCATTTTGTTTATTACAACTACAAATGTAATACATGCTTGTTTTAGAAAATATACTTATATCTTAGAAAGAGCTTGTAATATAATATCATCCATAGTTCTCCTAGCCATAGTGTAAACTTTTTGGTGTACTTCCAGGCTTTTCTGTATGCATAATTGTTACTATAATTAAGTAGTTTTGCATACTTCTTTTTTTCCTATTTCCTCACATGTTTACAAACTCTTCATAAAGTTTCTTTCAGCATCATTGACAGTACACCTACATCTACCTTTCTCTTACTTCATTTATAACAGTAACATTTCTAAACCATCAGATCACAAGGCCAAGGGTTCTATTTGCTTTTATTCTCTTGTAAAGAATGCAGTGTATGTGTCTGCTCATGACCTACTATAGAATTTGGAGAAACTCATGTCCAGGGACAGAGAGGTGCCTCATTCATTTTGGCAGAGACTCTGCTTTTCATTTATTCTTGGCCTTACTACCAAGTACATATTTACATATGTTTTAAATAGCTTTGTAACCACGTATGTCAATAGATGTCAGCCACAGATGAACCTCCTTAAGTCTGTTTTTAATTAGTTTGTAAAATCTGACTTATAGCCAGAGACCATCTGCAAGAAATATGCAGTAATAGAATATATAGTTTGGCCTTTCCCTTTAAAGATTCTCTTAGTCCTACAAATAAACCCAAGCAAAAACAAAGATAATTAATACCACTGAGAAGTATCAGTGTTGCAATCAGCTAGGGCCCCAGACTGCTGCCGGGAGTTAAATGTACAGACTGTCCACCCCTCACCCCCACCCTGGGCCTTGGAATCCAGGTTCTGTGATTCAGGGCCCATACTTTTTCTGAAGCTGAACATGCATGGTTCTCATGTTGTTTGAAACCCTGTGAAACGCTATGGTGAGACCTTCAAAGAGAGACAGTAAAAATCAGCTCTGGATGAAAGCAAAGGATAACAATGTTTTCTTTGCTATGAACAGCGGGACTCCTATTAAGTACTCAGACAGAGTTAAGAGTGGGGTCACCGGGGAACAGATCTGGCTGCAAATCAGTGAGCCCACTCCGAATGACAAAGGGAAATATGTGATGGAGCTCTTTGATGGCAAAACTGGACACCTGAAGACAGTGGATCTTTCTGGACAAGGTAAATGAATATTTTACAGATTAGAACTTTCCTGTGGAGGAGTGTGGGCTTTTAAAAAAAGAATGAAGGGTGATAAGAGGCCATTACATCTGACTATTGGAAGATGATTGGAGATTTTAAGAAAGCAATTTAAATTCAGCATGGTGGTAGAAGCAAGAATTCAATGGGTCTTGGAGAATCAGTGAAAAGTATAAAGTAGAGACAATAAACACAGAGAGCAAGAACTCCCTTTTCAAGATGCTCACAAAAGGAGGGCAGGTTGATTTACAGTCACCTGAGCAAGAACAAGCACTCAAAAAGAATTGTTATGGTGATTGGAATTTGAGCATGTTTCATAGAGTTTAAGAATTCAATTGAACTGGAAGTTGTGAGTGATGAGGAATAACCAATGTATCCATGTTCTGAAGAATGGAAAGTCTGAGATCCAGGGCAGGGGTGAAAGTGTTGACTTTGGAAAGGAGCAGGTATCCCTTTTCTTCAGAAATCAGAGAGGGGCGGGTGGGTAAATATGAATAAGCAAAAATTAATATTGAGGAGAAGAGAAGAAAGTTGGAGAAGTTGGGTCCTTATGGCCTCTGATGTCTTGGTCATCTGCTGAGAGAATGGGGGCATCTGGAGAGAAGAGGGAAGAGGAGCAGGAACTATGGAGAGACATGGACAGATACAGAGGTAACATGCAACTAGCAGCCACAAGTTAAACAGTTTAGAGACGTGTGGCTCTTGATCTGTCAGCCCCAAGGTCTTGGAAACCACAGGGTCAGGATGTTGTGCCCTGAGGCTTTTAATGTGTAGCTTATTTATCACTGTCCTTGCCTCCAGCTCCTGTCTCTATCATTCCCCCTCAAGGACTTGGGACTCTGCCTTAGGGCGGTCCTTCCACTGCTCCGTCTAGATTCTGCCTAACATTCCTCAGGGAGACCCTGGACTGACTTTTTCTTCCACTCCTTCATACACTAAAATGCAATCTGAATATTCCAGAACTCTTAGTGGTTTGGTTTTTTTTGTTGTTGTTGTTTTTAAAAGATTTTATTTATTTATTTGACAAAGAGAGACACAGCAACAGAGGGAACACAAGCAGAGGGAGTGGGGGAGGGAGAAGCAGGCTTCCTGCAGAGCAGAGAGCCCGAGCGATGCGGGGCTCCATCCCAGGACCCTGGGATCATGACCTGAGCCTAAGGCAGACACTTAACGACTGAGCCACCCAGGCGCCCCGAACTCTTAGTGTTTTTAATCCACAGAGAATAGACTAACAATTAAGAGCACAGCCTTTCAGCAGTCCTGCCTTGAATTGTTTTGGGCTGAGCCCCCAGACCCTTCCCCCCACCCCCACACACACCCCTTCCCCCCTACCTCCCCATCTCCCACCCATGAGGACTAGAAAGATGGGAGTGGCTGCCTGCAGGCCCTGCCGTGCCTGAGGCACACACTGCAGTAACAGGGGATTTCTTCTGCAGTGCATCTGACATTTTGAAACACAGCCGAAACCGGGAAACAGGAAGGGGGTGGATAAATTTAAAACTTAAAAAAAAAATTTCTTTTACTCTCTGGCCCACCCAAGCAGATTGGTTCAGCAGGGCCCAGCTCTTCTTTAGTGTAGTGTGGGCAAAAGGAAGAGAACTGAATGCTTAGCCTGGCTTAGCCTAACTGGTCTACCTCCAGAGACTTGAAGCCTGACTTTTTATGCTTATTTTTCCCCTCCGTAAAAGGAGGGGGACGGTAAATACTTTCTAGATGTAAAATATGATGATTCCCAGACCACATAGGAGCTGAAAGAGGAGGTGAGAGAGATTTCAAAATAAAGCTGCCTTTTCGCCTGAATTATTCAAAGTGGCTTGCTTCCGCAGGCTCGGGGGGAAGAAAGATTTTAGAACTCTGTAGCTCTCATTTCCTTGTCTCACTGTCTTTTCTCTGGGCTCCTGCCCAGTTTAGAAGCATTGCTTCAGGCCGACACTGGCGCAGGCTGGGAGCTCCATCGCTCCTGTGCCCTTTAACACAGATAGACGGGCCAGACCGTGTAATATGGAAACATTTAACTGTCGAGCTCAGGGGCTGTGCTGAGTGGGATGATTTAGTAAGAGGAAAGCCTTTTTGATGTTCAGGATGCTTATCACACAACCACCTTTATTACCATTTTATCTTTGGCAGAGCTAATCTTTGCCTCTGCTTGAAAGGAAGGTCTCTCACTGAATTGGGAGCTTCTAAAATCCACTACTTCATCTTTTCTACCTAGAAAGTATTTGCTTGTCCTGTGAAGTCCATCATGTTGCAGAGTCAACGGGCAGGCACAGTCTTATTCAGTCAGCTTAGTCATGTCTGGACTGACCACACTGACCTCAGGCTGCGAATTTCAATCCACTGCTGTGTGTTGTCAATTCTGGGTGAGAACATTCTAACTTTTCTTTTTTTTCTCTTCAAGCATATGATGAAGCCTTTGCTGAATTCCAAAGACTAAAGTAAGTCCCTTGCCATTTGTGTGCCCTGATTTCTCTGGAACATGATGTGCTGCTCCCCCACCTGAGGGTTAGAGAGGGTCTTTCATTTTGGCAGATGCCTAAAAACCACACTTCCCACTGCTTTGTTGAGCAGCAAAATGTCTCTGAGGCAATGAAATGCAGTCAAGGTTCGCTACTTTGAAGTACCACTAAAACAAAATTCTTCTTTGTTTGCATGTTTGTTTGGTTCTCTCAACCACAGACAAGCTGCCATTGCCGAGAAAAGTAAGTAAACCCCCTTCCCATTTATTCCTGGCATAGCCGCAAAACATAGCTTTTATTTTTTTATTGTGACTGCAGAGAGTCTTTCATTTTTTTTTTAATCTTAGGTGTTCTACATATGTTTTCATTTAGTCTCTTGAGTAAGAACGTCTGTGAAAAGAAGGTGTCAGATTACATTTTAAGAATGTCACTGAGCTCTTGACTTGAGCTAACCCCTGGGTGTCCTGAGAAATCTCTGGGCACAAGTTACACAATAAGTTGTTAATCACTTGCAGCAGGCACAATGTATCAGAAAAATGTATCTCTATTAAAGAAGAAATAAGAAATTGTAAATGTGACATCAGGAAAATCACTGTGACTGGTCTCCCTACAAATACTCCTGCATTTTCCTAAGAGCCCCTGTAGGATAAAAGAAGCCAAAGAAGGCCTTCTTGAATTCTTCACAGTCTGAGTGAACAAACACCAAACTGTCAAGTCTGTGTACCCACAAACGTGCTCACTACTAACTTCTGTCAACTGTTGGCCTCATATGTGGAGATTTCTAGAATTCAATCTTTCAGGATTCCGAGAGTCATGAACTAATTACCATAATCATTCAGGTTCTCTCTGAGTGTGTGAGGCAGGGTTTGAAAATTGTTGAGGGCTAACGTTGTAGTCAGTCCTGAGCTGGAATGGAGGGAACCAGGAGGGGGAGTGAGAAGTGAAGTGTTCTGCCATCCTTTCTGTAGCTCCAGGTCATTCAGGATGGAACTTTGCACTCTGGATTGCCTTCCTCTCTCCTTGCCACTCTTTCCTTCTCCCCCTTCTTGGGCTGGGCTCCTGAGTGGTAAGGCAGGGGCTAGTGGTGAACGGGGCTGATGCCCACACCAGCACCGGGCGTGCCGGGGCAGGGCGGGGGGGCAGCGCCAGAGGGGAGCGCTTCTTGTTGGGAACAAGTGTGCACCTCCCGCGCCTGTATGCGCAAGCAAAGCCAGAGTCCAAAGTTGATGGCCACTCCCCATTCTTGAACTCTGGTGGGCAAGGAGCCTGCCCCTCCCTCCAGTTCATGAATTCTTTCTCAAGTTTCTGCATTGAAGCAGTTTAGAGCTGGAAGAGACTTGAGTGCTCTTCTGGCCCCCTGTGTTTAACCTTTTGTAAGCCGAGGGATGCTTAATTCAAACAAATTCACACAGATCCAAGATATAAAATAGGTAAAAGCCAAGTTAGCGTAATTGAAGGTGGGATGGGGTCCAGGCTCCCTGACTCAATGCCCCTCCTCAGACCTCCTCCCAGGGCCCCCAGCGGAATCCCACGGATGCTATGGAGCAGAGCTGGGTAACTTCATGTCCACAGGTGTAACGCAACCCTTCCCCCATTCCACATAGGGAGACTAGGGTCCACACAGTGAGGTGACTTGCCTGATGTCACACATCGGGTGGTGTAGGAGCCAGATGATGAGTTGAGCTTACAGGTGGTCCAAGGTGCAATGGAATCAGCAGGAGAATGCAATCAAGATTTAAGGCTTGTTCAAAGCTTTAGTCTGACTTAGTGGAGAAGGGAGTTGTAGAAATAGGATCTAGAATCACACATTAATTGAAGTAGGCCTAAAATTGAGAGGATGGTGGCCACTGCATTAGTGTCAAGACAGTGTACCTTTGAGCAGATTACAGGAAGGCGTCCTTCCCTGGGGCTGAGCCAGTCACACCCAGAGCACAGGGCTGGGTGGAGTGAGAGGTCAGCTCTGGAATTCAGCACCCTTCCCACACCTTGTCCCCTCAGCTGGGGGCCTTTGTACTTCATGGTCATAGATAGTAACCCTACATAGCCCTATACACCAAGAACTACCAGGGGACAAAAAGGGAAGCTCTCTAGGAAAGGCCTCAAAGAAAGCCCACATCTGCACAAGCCTCCAGATCTCATGGCATTCAGCCTCCAATTATGCAACCTTTTTTTTTTTTAAATGATAGGGAATCCCTTAAAGGAGGCCAAGGGGACTTGGAGGCTGTCCATAGAGATCTGCTTTTGCCTCCTTGAACTGAGCCCCACTGAGCTACAGAAGGGCCAGGGCTGAAAATAGTCATGAAAATTATAGAGCAGGTCTTAATACCACAAAGCCATCTCAAGCTGATAATTTAGGAATAGGTAGAGGCAGCCACGCACACAATTTATCTGTGTGAGGAAGGATTAACATCTAAAATTACTGGATGCTTTTCTAATTTTCGTGTTAAAAACAGGTATAAAATAACTGTAAGGAGGAGGAAACTAAATTGGAGAGTTAGTCCCTGGGGTGTTTCTGTGAATGTGATCACTGGCGCTCATCATTTCAGTGATTAACCAGAAACACATATGCTTGCAGATCGTGCCCGAGTGTTGGGTGGACTCCCTGATGTGGTCACCATCCAGGAAGGCAAGGTAAGTATGGAGCACTCCTGTCCCTGCTTCTTCCACACTAGCAATGGATTCCAGTGCCCCAGACTTCGTTCCGTCTAAGAGCTCCCACCATCTTCATCTTAAGCCACTGCTGCTTAGGCTTGACATCAGAGTAGCCAAATACAAGATTCAAAATGCAGTCCATTTTCCAGTCATCTTAACAGTTTGTAGGCCAAGCATCAGGATACAAGTTCGCCTTATGTGGTCACATGTAGACCACTTAGTCTCTTTCCAGAGGTACCCTTTCATATCACAAGAAGCAAAAAAGGTTCAATCACAACTATATGACAAATATAATTGGAGAAAGATGCGACCTCTAACACCTAGTGGAAAATGGGCTGTCCTGTTAAATACTTTACCTCTGAAGGGAAACATCCTGCTCCATGAATTTCTATAGGCTCTGTTTCAGTTGAAAACTGATTTACTTCTCTTTTTTTTTTAAGATTTTATTTATTTATTATAAATAAAATTGAGAGAGAGAGAGAGCACAAAGAGGG